TTGCAAAATCAAAGTTGGGTTGCGTTTCTAGGTGTTAATCCATTACTACTGCTTGCAAAATGATGTCTAAAACACCGAAGGTCGCCCGACCTCGAAGGTCCTTCTTCGTTCTCATTCCTGCCGGATCGTTTGGCCCCGACTCGCCGTTCGACAAGACACACCCAGCTCCTTCGCCGGCCATGCTATTTCATTTTTGAACATAGCCCCCGCCCAGAACGGCCCGCCGACGATGGGTAAATGTCAAGGATGAAAGAGCCCGGGCAAGCCCCCGTATTAGACTATACCCCAACCGCTTCCTTCCTCGGATCGACCTCGTGCTGCTGACCGTGCGGCGCATACTTTCCCACGTCTTGCTGGGGGCCCCGTTCGCTTTCGAGCCGTCGGGTGTGACGTGGCTGGGAAGCCCCACGGCGCGGGCCCGTCTGGGTGGGCGTGTGTGCCCGCGTGCCCGCGGCGTGGACTGGCCTCGGGGCCTCGAGGCTCGGCATGGTGCGGTCTCCCGTGGCTGCCGACGTCGCGACGCTGTCGGGGGAGGAAGGGGGCGGGGACGTCGGGGGCCTGGTGATGTCTTTGCTGACGCGGGTCGGGGTCTTGTCGTGCGTGGCGGGGGGTCTGGGGGTTGTGCTTGACATGTGGCCTTTTTTCTTTCTGGTCTCGTAGGCGTTGATGATCGGAGATGATGCGGTCTATGAGATGAGATGGAGACCGGTGCTCAATACTAACCACTAGACCAGGACTGCAATGTGAAGGTTGTTGAAGCTGGGTAGGCACGCGGGCTTCTTGTTTATAGCCAAACGACGCCCCCGACCTGCGACCTGCCCAAGACCAGGACGGCTCGCTCCTGCCGCCTTCAGCCCACCCACTTGTCAAGCAGGGCCACCCGCCAGCCGTGGAACAGCCTCTCGCCGGCAGGCAGGAGCAGGGCGCTGGCCTCGAACCCGCGCGCGGCAGCCGCGATGACGGCGGCGGGAAAGGTCACCTCCTGCACGTCGAGGGCGAACGACGCGAGCATGGCGTCGGCCTGCGCGACGGCGATGGGCTTGTAGAGGAGCTTGAGGGCGGAGCGGGGGCCGGCGGCGGGCCGGAGGCTCGAGGCGTAGGTGATGTTGCTGTTGAGGACCCAGACGTGCAGGGCCTGCTGCTGCTGCTGCTGCTGCTGCTCGCTGTCGTCGTCGTTCGGGGTTAGCGGCGCTTGGATTGTCGGCACGATGACGGACTTGGACGAGCCGGAGCGGGAGAGCGTTGCGAGGAGCGTTGCCGCGAGGCAGTCTGCGCCCGTGGGCGGTGCCGTCTCGGCCGGCGTCGATGAGGCGGCGCAGGTCGTCTGCCACTTGAAGAGCACGACGGAGGCGATGGACGTGTTGTAGAAGCCCATGTGGACGGCGCAGCTGGCGCAGGTGACGTGGAGCAGACGCGGGGGCTGGGCTGCTGGGTCGGCGTCGAGGGCGGCGGCGGCGGTGCGGCGTGTCCATGTTGCATCTGGCGTGGAGAACTGTCACGGGGTATAAGTTTTTGGGACGGAATGCAAGACGTGGTCACGGTTGCGTGTGTGCGTGCGTGTGTGCGTGTGTGCGTGTGTGTATATGTGTGCGAGAGTAATGTGTGTGCATTAAGAGCAGCAGGGTTCGCGAGGGCAAAGCAAGACCCAGCTTGATTTCGTATCTATGAAGGTGCTTCTTTTTTTTTTTTTCCCTCCCTGCTCTCTGCAATGTCCCTCGCCTGCCATCCGGAAGAAACATCACCCCTCTGATGAAACTCGTATGGGACCTTGCGAGGGGCGCCTTTTCGTGCCTGACGACCACATGAACCGCGCCGTGGCCCTCGCTGCGAGCGCGAAGAACAGGGGGGTTCGCATGGCGCCAGGCACGCCCCTCTCCTGGGGAGACCGGGATAGGGGGGAACGGCTCGGGGTGTGTTTGTCTTGGAGCTGGGTATCGGTGACCACGCCATGGAGATGGGACGAAGCCCGGACATGGCCGCCTTCTTGTAGCTCCGTGTGGTGAGGAATAGAGGGGGGGGGGGGGGGGGGGGGGGCAGTCCGGTGAAAGGACAGCGGGGGGGAAATTACTCCCAGGCCGGGGGAGTCCTCCCCGGGGAGGAAAAAGGAGGTCAGGTCTACAAAGCCGACGCGCGTCTGGGCGGCTATGGACGAGTTGGCGCCATAGCCTCGCTTCGTGAGGTGCTCGTCGTCATGGTCGCCGTCGCCGTTCTTCTCCTGACCGTGGTCGTGAGGCTTGTGGCAGTGCCAAAAGTCCATCATCTCAGCCCAGTTCTCGCTCGGCAGGTCCTTCCACACATGCAGCCTGCCCTCGGGAACGACGGCCTCGCCGCACTGCCGGCATGCAACGGCTGCCTTGGGGGTCAAGTCGTGGGCGCTCCACGGGACGGTCGGCTGGAGCTCATGACGCGTGCTGGGCAGCGTGACGGAGGTTGAGACGGGCAGACGCCACGCGAGCGAGGTTGGGCCAGAGGGTGGCGTGGCGGGTATGGGAAGGGCTGAAGGCGCGGACACTGGTCCTGGGAGGCGCGCCTCTGTAGACTCGCCCCTGTGCGTGACCAGGATGCTGTCGCCATGGGCAGATGTCTGGACGCTTGTTGAGGCATCGACTGGTGAAGGGAGAGACACGGCGACGGAGATGTGTCGAATGTTGGGGAGAAGCTCTGCATAAATGACGACCGTGTCATGCGTTGCCATGGGGGCCATTTTGGTGCCCAAGCTCTCTGGAACGAGGGAAGGGTCAAGAGCAGTTGGGGTGATGATGAAGCTTGGTCATTGTGTGTGAGATGGAGAGAGAGAGAGAGCACAGGCTGTGAAGTCAAGAGAGAGAGAGAGCACAGGCTGTGAAGTCAAGGAGAGCACAGGCTGTGAAGTCCAATGCGAATGATGCCCCACTACAGCCATCCAAAGCGGACTAGCTCCATTTCCACCGAAGCTCTTGTCGTCCTTCGAGGAAGAGCAGATGCTAGAGCTCCAGAGGGGCTACATGCACCTTCGACGACGACGACGACGACGACGACGAAGACGACGTCCCGTTACATACGCCACCCCCTCTCCAGCTTCGACTTCACCTCCGATCAGAGGTCCTCGACCCATCCGGTCGACCCACGCCGGGGCGTCTCAGAGCATCACGCCGTCACCATGTCCTTCCTCCACTCCTACATGAACAGTACGTCTCAAGCACGGGACCCCAGCCGCCGGCGCACGCCGTGCTCTATGAAGCCAGACTCTGACCGTAGACTGACCCCTTTCGCAGAGAAGGTGCTCATCATCACGGCCGACTCGAGAATCCTGGTGGGCAACCTGGTGGCCTCCGACAACAACACAAACCTCGTGCGCTCCCCCACCCCCCCTCCCCCCCCCTTCTCCTCCCCCCGATTCCAGCCCCCCCGCTGACACTTGTCCTCGCAAGGCCCTCAGCGACGCCCACGAACGAGTCATCCAGACGCCAGACGCCGACGAGCCCTCGGTCGAAGTCCCCCTCGGCCTCTACATGGTCCGCGGCGACAACGTGTGCACCATCGGCCTCGTCGACGAACAGCTCGACGGCTCGATCAACTGGACCGAAGTCAAGGGCTCAGCCATCGGGGGGATAAAACACGTCTAGAAAACACAAAAGACCCGCCCACACAAGAAGATGTGGGAAACGTGGCTTGAGCAAAGGGAAAAAAACAAGCAAGAGGTTTATGATTTCTTTTTACGTTTACGAGCCGGATACCCCTAAAATTGCCCGAGTTCAGGCCCAGCACACACCATTGCATTGCAGACGACGAACGGGGGGAAAAGAAGGCATGAGCAAGGGCAGCGCGGTGGGGCTGAGACAGCGGGCGGAAACAGACGAGGCACTGTAGACTGGAGCTGGTAGTGAATGATATTGGGTCTGTGCCTCTGGCTATGTGCCGCTCTTTCTTGGCGGATTCTTCCTCTGCGTGCAGGCGACCATGTCCCCTTCCCGCCTCCCCTCTTGGAGCTCTTGGAGGCCCCTTTCGTCCTTGCCAGGTGATGGTTCTTCGTCCTTCCCAGGTCATGGTTCTACGCGAAAACCCGCTTCATCAGGTACTCGGCAAACGCATCCTCGCCCGGCGACGCGATGATCCTGTTGATCCTGTTCCCCTTGGTCACGTTGAGCCAGCCGTCGTCGTCGCCGGGGGCGTCGGCCAGCGTCAGCACGTCGACGTCGTCGGTCGTCGACGCGCCGAGCTCAAGCTCGACGGCCGCCTCGCCGACCTTGGCGCGCGTGCGGCGGTCCACGACGTGCATGCCGCGCGTCCACTGGCCCGACGTCTCGATGCGAATGTCCTCGAGCTGCGGCGTGCCCTTCCACCGGGCGTCCGACTGCGTAATGGCGTACCAGATGGTGAGGGGGTCGTGCAGCGACAGGCCGGGCTCGTTGCCGTCGCCGACGAGGCTGTCAATCTTGTTGAACGTGCCGCTGAGGAAGTGGTTGACCCACACGGCGAGCGGGCTGCCGGCGTCGACAAACGGCTTGACGCGCGCCGTGAAGTAGTTCTTGTTGAGCAGGTGCGGCGTCGTGATGTCGAGGGGGAAGAGCGTCAGCTTGAGCTTGCGCGACAGCTTCTCCGGGTACGCCGGCAGCGAGGACCGCGTCTGGGAGAGCGGCGGCATGGTGGACTTGGGGCTGGGCGACGTGAGCGCGAACACGCGCGCCGTGGCCACCGTGTCGGCGTACGTGTTGAACTCGGCGACGGGCGTGATGTTGCCCTCGACGTTGACGGCGCCGCCCATGACGAGCACCTCCTTGGCCTTGAGGAACGTCTCCGGGTCCTCGGCGGCGGCGAGCGCAAAGTTGGTCATGGGCCCCACGGCGATCAGCGTGAGCGTGTCCTTGGGGCTCTCGCGCAGCAGGCGGAGGATTTCCTTGTGCGCCGGCTCCTTGGAGGCTGTGAAGTACTGGGAGTAGGGGGAAGGATCGTGGTCCAGCGCCGCCGAGTCCTTGTGGAAGAGGCTCTTCCAGGTATCCTCGGCATCGAGGTGCGGGTGCTCGGTGTGAACGCCGTGCAGGCCGTCGACGCCGTCTGCGCACGTCAGTCAGCCTGGGACAGCCCTCTTGGAGATGTCGACGCCGTGAAGACTTACGGAAGTAGTCAGCCATGAGCTGGTCATCCTCGAGGGGGTGCTCGGCGCCAACGGCAATGATGGGCTTGTGCGTCTTCAGGGTCCCAAAGTTCTCGGCCTTGCCGTTCTCCTTGCGCCAGGCCAACTCCTTCTCCAGCACGTGGAACAGCGCAACCGCGTTCTTGAGGCAGCTGCACATTTGTATCAGCATCAAAGAAAAAAAAAACCCCTTCCTTGTCTTCTGAGGGGCCAACCTCCTGGGCTACTGACCTCTGAAGTTCGACGTTGCCATATGTGACGGAGATCATGGCAACCTCAAGTTCGTCAGGGTTGACGGACAGGGCGAGAAGCATCGCCAGAACATCGTCAACGCCTATCAACACGTGAGTCTCATGCCAAGCCAACAAGTTTTCTCTCTTTTTTCGTACCCGGGTCAGTGTCGATGATGATGCGGTTGGGAGCCATCTTGTAAAAAGCGTTTAAAGAATATCGAGAAGCAAAAAATAAAAGATGCAGTGGTATCCAGAGAATGGCCGAGACGTAAAGACTGGCGACTGCAGGAGGTTGAGGCCAAGAGGCACGAGGCTTAAGAGTAAAGTATGACTACGTGCCTGTAGCGGAGCTGGCCGATGTGTCGGCTTATCGAGCTCTCAAAGCCGAGTAGTCAATCGTGGTGTTCCCCGTCTTTCACGGCTCTCCAAGCAGCAACCCCTCTTGCCCTTCCCCTCCTTGAGTAAGGTAATGGTGGGGTGGATTAAGCATGGAATATTCGACGCCAGGGGTGGGGTTAAACCTAATGAGGCATGTCACAAAGGTGAGCATCGGATCACCTGGCAGAGGAGTGAGCGAGGCCCAGAAATATGGCACTCTAGGGATCAATAGACTCTAATGAAGGCTGTGAAGGTTTCAAAAGGCAACACTGCTCAGCCTGGCCACGTCCAGTGGCCTGCCAATTCTCGGCTCGGTGTGTCGGCTGGGTGGCCTCGGTGTGTTGATAACAAACTTGGCCGGGGAGCGATTCAATAAATTGAGAAGGAATAGGAAGCTAATCCCAAAGTGGGAAGAACCATCGCAGGCTGTGAAGAACTACGTCTGAACAGGACTAGCGCTGCCTGAACGTCATCTTTCACGTGACGTAGGCTCTTCGATCCAGCAATACCGCTGGAAGCTTCAATCAAACGCCCGCTCGGGAATACAGAGGCTGCAATCAGCGAGGAAATGCTGCACTGCTGAAAAGATCTCATCCTATCATGATCCCTCGTCTCTCGTGCATCGAAACCCGACGACATTGTCTCCTGCTTGCTCCATCGTGTCGACGTGAATCGCCTCTCCCCCAGCCAATCATTGGCCCCTTGAATCATCAGCACATCGCAAACCTCAATCTCTCCTATCGATAACCAGGAGGTAACGTGTTAACAACGGAGCCGCTCCACCACGCCTGCGAGCCACAACCTCTCATCGTGCTCCGTCGGGAGTGTGACCCTGCCTTTCGTTCCCTCAACCCCCGATGCACCACGCACCACGCACCACGCATCTCACGCACAGCACTGCCCTGCAGGCCCTCCAATTTTCTCCACAGACAGCACGTCTATCCCCTGGCTGGCAGCTATCCGGTCACTGAAGCCACCTGGTAAGTACTCGATCACCTCAGCTTTTTTTGCCTCCTCTCGCCGATCCGTGGTTCAACACTACGTCTCGCTCCATCAACTACGAAGCATCACATCCTCTGCTGCACATCATCCCTTTCCCTTCCCTTCCCTTGACCCAAACACTAGTTGCTTGCCAACTGTCCCAAGACTACCATCGCCGGTCTGGGGTTTCATTTGGAAGAGCTTCCTCCCCGGTCGTCTACCCCTGTACGCTTTCACTTCCCCTTTCCACGCGCCAGCTGTCTTGAACCTCAGACCTTCTTCATCACCTCAATCATTGAGCAGTCTGTTAACCAAGCTTGATTCATCCAGTCTCTATCCGATCCGAGCAATTCAATTGAACCATCAGAGCTTGGTCCTTCCCGTGGAAGCTTTGACGCATTTCCATCAAGCTCTCTTTCCTGACCCATCCCTCACCGAGCACACTCTGCCCTTGGATTGTCTGCACCGAACCAATCATCACGCCGGTCCCTCATCTCGCTGGTCTTTGATCGGCATTTCATCTACTCGGGCTTCACACCACGGTCATCATGTCTTCCTCGGAATTCCTCACCCCCTCCTTTGTGGGCGGCTGGGCTACGGTCCTCGCCATCGCCGGCACCATTGGCTACAACTACTACCAGAAGCAGAAGCCCGCCAGCGCGCCCTCCAAGACCACCCAGGTGCCTTGGAGCCCTCCCAAGAAGGGAAACCGCGCCAAGAAGCAGCGTCAGGAGGCCTACGCCACGGCCGCCCAGAACGCACCCCGTGAAGAGACACCACGTGACGACTCGGTTGTAACGAGCTCGAAGAAGAAAGAGCGTGACGAGGATGCCGACAATAAGGCGTTTGCGAGACAAATGTCTGGCGTCCAGGAGGGCGTCAAGTTCACCGGCAAGAAGGCGGATGCCGGCAAGAAGAGCAATAAGCAGAAGTCGGTCAAGCAGAGCCTCGCTGCCGAGCCTTCTGAAGTCACCCAACCCATTGAGCTGACGCCCGCCGTCCCCGAGCAGGCCCCTGCCGAGGAGTCATCCTCTTCCAACGCCGATGCCGATGACGACCGCTCCCCTGTCGTCAAGGCTGCTGACGCCAGCGGCGTCAGCGACATGCTCGAGCCCTCAGCTCCCGGCCCTTCCGTCCTCCGTCTCACCGACACGGACAAGCAGAAGTCCAAGCCCAAGGTCGCCAAGGCCGCTGAGCCCGTCGAGACAAAGAAGCAGCGCCAGAACCGCCGCAAGGTGGAGGAGCGCAAGGCCGTCCGTGAGGAGGAGGAGAGGCTGCGCAAGATTGCCATGGAGAAGCAGCGCCGCGGTGCCCGCGAGGCCGCCGGCATCCCTGCCAAGGACGGTTCCCAGTTCATGGCCGCCACCAACGGTGGCAAGTCTGCCTGGAAGGCCGGCAGCCCGCAGGAGGGCCAGAAGGAGACGATTGACGTCCAGCCCCTCGACACCTTCGAGACGACGACCACCAACGGCACCGCCGCCAGCGTCGCTCCCGCGCAGAACAAGCAGACCGATGGCTGGAAGGCCTCGGCCCTGTCCGAGGAGGAGCAGATCGAGCTGATCAAGGAGGATGACGAGTGGGCCACCGTCCCCACCAAGTCGTCCAAGAAGGCCAAGAAGTCCCAGGGCAGCGACACGGAGGCCGCGCCCGCTCCCCCCAGCGCCCCCCCCAAGGAGGCCAGGCCCGTTCCCCAGCCCATCGTCAACAAGACCAACTCGGCCAAGGCCAACCAGTCTTACGGCTCCTTCTCCGCTCTGTCTTCCAAGGTCGACGACAACGCCCAGGAGGAGGAGACCGAGTGGGACGTCTAAACAGCCAACGTGGCATGGCACACCACAGGGAACCGACACCTCCCAACATCTCACATTGTCGAAAACGCACACCATAATTGCCATTGGTATGAATGCGCACGATATTTTGTTCAACATGTACAAAAACCGCCAGGGGGGAAGAAGAATCTTGCTGCAATGGGCGAAACCACGCGCGCCGATGACAGCAGAAGGGGCAGGCAAGCAGGCACAGATTGTGTAGGTGAAACAAAAGCAGGTGAACAGCGAGACGGAGCTTTCTCACGGTCCTGTCGTCCCACGCTTGCAGACCGAGCATCACACGGGTTGGACGGAGCAAACCAAGGGACATTCTCTTCTCTTTCTCCCGTGTTCGTCATCTGAAAGTGAAGTTTGTTGGACTCGGTTGCTCGGAGAGGATGGCTTTGGTCGAAACTGTTTTTTTTTATTAAAACCCCCAGCTTTCCCACTCTGCAACGGGGAGGGGCGCCACAAAAAGGGAGTTGCGCGAATCATTAGGGGGTTTGCGCGCGTACGTGAACCTACACCTTTCCATAGGTCCATCAATTTCTTTTGCTTTTTTCACCCAGTGGTCGGTCTTGTGCTCGTGTCTGATGTATGGTTGGCAGCAGCGTGCAGCGTGTTCTGGGTTCGGTGCCGATGTAGCCACGCGCATGCAAACAGCCACTGGCAGAAAGTATCCGAAAGGGCTGTCTGGGTCAGACTCTGGTGATGCGGCTCTTTGGTCTTGGATGGGACGACACACACACACACACAGAGAGAGCCATGCGGGCCGCGCATGCCTACGACGCCAGCACGTCCCACCGAGCCAGCAAGTGGCAGCACATTCATTCTCCGCGCGGGCAGGTAGTTGCATTCGCACAATGACGGAACCGCCCCCTCATCATTCGACAAGTCAACAGCCGCCGCAGGACGAGGGAATCAACCAGCCAGGCCCGCACTCCTCACACGCAAAAAAACGGTCCCTCGTTGGCTGATGCCGTTTCGGCACGAATAAGCAGGGCCCATGAAACCACAAGACAGCGGTACGTGGTGCCAGTAGGAACATTTCGTCCTTGTCCGCGTAACCCCCCCCCCGCCCCTCTTCTTCTTACCCGGACTCTGAAAGGCGCCGCGGCGAAAAGCCTGACACGCACCGCCCGCTCAGCCTCTCACGGGACGGGTACGGACGGGCGGGCGGCCACACAGACGAGGGAAGAATCCCCGATCCGCGCCGAAGGGGCGTGTGCAAGCGTGTAGTTCGGGCCTCTGTTCTGTCTGCAGCAGGGCTGGTTGGTGGTCATGGCAACCTACGCACTGGAGACGAGGCCGGTGGGGGGAGCAGGCCACTACATAGTACAGTACAGTAGCTGGAGCGCCTGCAGTACTTTACCTTAGGTAGCGCAGGACGGATGATGATGGGCGGGGATTACTCCTCGAGAAGTCAAGGGGGTCGCCGTCACGAATCACGAATGACAATTGGTTGGGCGGATGCTGTCGCGCAGGTCTTGGCCCCTTGCATCTCGTGGGAGGGTTTTGTTTCCGTCGAGGGGCTTGCATTGGCACCATCATGGGATGGGGGTGGGGGGTGCATGTGTGCGCGTGTGCCTGGTTGACGAAACGAGAGAGCGCTGGATGAGAAGGCGGCACGTAGCTAGCTAGTAGAGAAGAGAAATGATGATTGATTGCTCGCGAGCGTTTGGAAGGCTCTTCAACTTGCTTGCTGGCCCAAGTTTTTCTCCTCCCTTGCGCTCTGGTTTTGCTGCTGCACTTGGGTAGACGGTGTCTGGGGCCAAGGCGGTCTAAAAGCGTGCCGAGTGGGTTTTCCCCTTCCCTTCCTCGCTGGCTCTTTACGACTGGCTCTTGGATGGCAATGGCAATGTGGGATGATGGACGGAAGGGGTCAGGACGTTTTCGTGGGCGGCGGGGGATCAAGTTCACTTGGTTGCTTGACGGGGCGGGGAAGGAGGGGGGTGTGGGGGAGAGGAACACGGCGCTGGAGGGGGGGTTCAAATTGGCTCGGCCAGCGTTGCAGCAAGAGCAAGCATGCTGGGAAAGGCTGGAGGTGAGATACTGAATGTGTGACGCAGAGTGTGATGATGTGTTTCAATGCCTCATGCTAGCTTGCGTTGACGGGAATGCCACGAGGGACGAGGATCCTCCCTGGGGGGAGGTCGATTTGTTTCAATGCGCCTTGGATGAAAAGGTGTGCTGCGCGTCGAAGGGAAGGGTGACCTGGATTCGATTGACCTGGATTCAAGTGGCCGGGCCCAGTGCAGTGAAGGCGGTGTCCGGTGTGGCGGCGGCGCGGGCTGAAAAAGAAAAGTCCACAGTGAATATATCGCTCTTCATGTCGTGTTCTTCCGGCGGTGCGATGCGATGCAATGCACCGGAAAGGGAATGGAGGCGTTTTCGATTCGGAAAGAGACCGGGGGTGGGGGGTTGGGGGGTTGGCGGCCGTGAAGATATTCGGTCCCAAGGGTTCGGGGGCGCTTGTACTTTACCCGGCGAATGTTCTTCGACAAACACCCCTCCATTCCAGCACGTCGTTTCGACCCGGCCCCCTTCTGTGCTACTTGCATGTCCGTGTGAAGTGCGAATGAAGGGCGAGTGCTGCTCGAAAGGCTGGGTCATGGCAAACATGGCAAACATGGCAAACATGGTAATACATCAACGGCAATCTGCGAACATGCTTGGCTGGCTCAGACAAGGGATCTGTCAACTCAGGGTAGAGACATCACTGATGTTAGGTCGAGAGGAGTTGGACCATGCCTCGCATCAGGGCCCATCTCTTCGTCCACCTTTGATATGGAGGGAATTGGAGGCAGACGATCGCCGCCTGAAGTCTGATAGACCGTCGATTGCCATTTGACACGACCTGTGATCACAACTGCGCATTGGGCTGCTCAAGATCACAACGAGAGACGGGTATAGACAGCCAAATGGATACATCCATCGGTGGGCGAATTGGAGGCGTGAATTGCTGAGGGCACCATCCATCATCACCTGGCTCCAAGCTCGTATCAATCAGATCAATTGTGCACTGGAGCTGCAGCCACCACTGTGAAAGTTCTGGCAGACTTCAACCAAGTCAAAACCACCAGTCTCTCGTTTGAACGATAAGCGAACATGCTTCTCAACGGACACAGAACCAAACATGCAAAAGTCGATGTCTTGCAAGGTACAGTACACTGGAGGTGCTTCAAGACAGGGGAACCACAAGGATCGCCGGATGGCGTTCCAGACGAAACACAGACATCCAGGCACACAAGTGCAGGGGGACACAAGCGGGCCGCCGATGATCAACTGCTTTGAGTGCTTTGCTGTTGACCTTGTCCCGACGTCACGGTGGCCCCCCCCTCGCGGAAAAAGTCCTGGCATATTCAATTGCCTCAGAAGGAAGAACGATGAAGCCATGTTGGCTTGGCAAAGCTGGGTTTGGATTGAGTGGCACTTGGCCTGGATGTGTTTCCATCCCTCGTACTTGTACACCTGTACGCTCGTACTGTACATGTATATGTACAGCGCTCCATCGCGGCCTTTTTGTTCGAGGTGGACGCCAAAGCACTAGTTAGCGATCAGGCGGGGCCACGATAGGGGGACGCAATCTCGCTGTGGCAGAGTAACGAGCGCCGAAACAAGGTGGGACATGCGCTAAAGAAAATAAGACCCCCTCTTCGATGCATCCATTCGTTCTTTCCCCAGAACCCTGAAAAGACCCCCTCCCGCACCCTGCTGGACCGACAAGGCACAAGGCGACCTACATGTTTCTACCTTACAGCACCGTGGGCGTCTGAAGCGGCTGCCTTTGTCGGAAGGTCCCCACCGCAACCCAACCCAATTACGCCCCCCACTTGCATGGCCCCAGGCGTCGTCACTCCACCACACCAACCCCTGGCTCGATCTGCACCCTCCTTGGCCCCCCCCCCCTTCCCCCGGCTGGTCCTCCTCCATTGTCTTATCCCTCGAACCTCGTCGTCCTCGCTCCCCCCCCCCATCCTCTCAACCTGGAACGAACAGGTACAGGTTGGGAACGACGCCTTCACCTCTCGTCGGCCATACCAACCCCCAATATTCTCCTCCACAAACTTTCTGTCTACCCCCCTTCCTTTTGTCATTCTTTCACTTCTCACACAACCACGAAAACGCTCCGACCGAGACCACCGGAACGGTCCAGTATTCTTACCTACCCTTACGCAAGCAGACGCGGAGGGTTCTGTGGCCTTTGCCCATTGCGCCGCACGCCGCAAAACCCCTAAATAGCAACCACTCTTGAAACTCCCGTCTCTCACACGGGCCGCGTATCCCAATCCCTCGCCTGCTCTCGTCGTTCGAACCTGTCCTGGGACTCGGTGACCATTTGAACGCAACGAGGCGTGCTACCAAGGTGCAAAGCGATCAAGGTTGGTGGACATTGAGGTCTGGCACCTACATCTTCACCCGCGCTTCGGCTTCGCAACGGCCAACCTCTGGAGGTTGACCTCCCGCCACCCCACTCAATTTCCTTTCCCAATGACCTGCCGCCTTCAGGTCTCTTTCCGGTGCGCGCCCATAGGACCGCTCTTCTCTACACAACGCCGATACCGACCCTCGATGCTCCCTGCCGCGTTACAGCTGTCCTGACGCTTGACCCGGACACCCCCCCACACGACGAAACCAGTGGAGGACGCATACACCCCAAGGCCGCAACCATGTCGCTCCCTGTGGCCATTCGTTCGGTCATTTTCTACTACCTGGCTTGCACGCCATGCAATGATGCCAAGGGGCGGTACAGGGCCAAGCAAAAGGCCGAGAAAGATCGCGAGAACAAGGCGACGCTCGAGATGGAACAGCCCGGCCTGTACGCCCACCCATCACCATGGAACACGAACCCGTACTGGCAAGAGGAGATTGATATCGGACCCAAGCTCCCGAAGAAGTCGATGCCGGCGAGGCCCATCTCGTAGCTGACGTAGCCCATGAAGCCGCCCCGGAACGGCGTGTCGTCCGTGTCGTCCGTGTCGTCAGCTTGACGGCCACCAGCTCCAACCTCGAACACAGCACGACGGGCCGCACCAGTCCCACGATCATACCAGAAGACGACGGCACCAGGATATCGGGCGACGGCTGGAACAAGACGCGCTACCAGCGAGAGGACGAGGAGCTATGGGGCGGCGACCTCAGCAAGATGGGCCATAAGTTGGTGGACAACATCGTCAAGGCCGGAAACTCGGCCGGTCGCATGATCAAGGGCGAGCTCAGCAAGGAGAGGCAGGTCACCGAGGAGGAGCGCCGCGACTTTTACTTTACGCCCAAGAACCCTCCTGTGAACGAGTATCACCCGCCCATCGTCGGCAGCACGCCCGTCCACAAGAATGCGCTTCAGTGGATGCTGCAACCTCCACCGACCGCCAAGCTCATGGAAGGCCGTGTCCCTGTCAGCAGGGCGAAGAGCTCGAGCAGCGTCGCGAGCCGGGGCAGCAGGGCGAGCAAGGCCAGCAGGGCGGCGACGACAGAGGACACCCCTCTGGGCCGCATCGTCAGGGAAAAGGCGCTGCAGGAGAAGCTTCGCAAGCAGGAGACGCCGTCGGAAACGGAGCTCATCGACGCGCTCATCGGCTCGCGGTCGAGGCAAACATTGGTCTCCACCAGGGGCAGGAGCATGCGCAGCCGCAGCCTCTCGCTGGAATCGGAGATGTACTCGGAGCCATCGACCGACAGCGAGCTCGTCGAGCGGAGAAAACATGCGCGCCGGCAGCCCAAGTACCAGGACGCGGACGGGTCGAGCGACGACGAGGACTTGGATGCCTTGAGGCAGAGCCCGCGACTCGTTGCGCGCGCGAGGGTCAACGCGGGTGGCGGCACGACCCAGACTCGGCACCATCCGCAGCTCAGGCACCGGCCACAGCACGCCGAGAGCGGCGCTAGCGGCCAAGCCTACGAACACGAGGGCGGAGAGCATCACGCCGCAGCCCTCTTCGCCGACGGCGCCGGCCAAGCCTACGTCGTGTCGACGACGATGGGCAAGCACGACGAG